TCTTGGTAGGTGGTAGGGATTTGGGATCTTCCTCCGCAGAAGGTAACTCTGCTGGTGAGGATATCTCTATGTTTTAACGAAGAGCATTTATCCCTCTTACAGGCTTGAAAAGAAGGTCAGAATTCACGATAAGTTTTGTTTTTCTTTCAAGTTTTGCCAGTAACGTCGGAGCTCAGTTAAACCAAGCACCATTAGGGTGTGTTGAACGAGATACCGCGCCAGCCCCCTCGGGGAGCCCGGCTGCCCACACGGCTGCGTTGGGGGCCGTGCCTGTGCCTCCCGCCGCTCCCCTCTCCGCTCTCCCAGCTCCCCGCTCTGCTCTCCCCGCTCTCCCCGCTCCGCTCTCCCCGCTCTCCCCGCTCCCTGCCGCGGAGCCCCGCGCCAGGCCCGGCCTGCTGGGGAGGAGCAGCGAGGGAAGGCAGCCAGAGTGCGCTATGGGCCTGCGTGCCCGGTGGGACTGGGGGGAGGTGGAGCTGGCGGGAGCCGCCGCAGAGGAGCGGGGCCCTCAGAGCAGCTCCTCATAACGTGAGGCGGCCGAAACTCTGCTCCCAACTGCGCCGTAGCCGCATTCTCCTTGGCGTGGGATGGGAAATAGAAGGTGTGTTGATCCAAAGATAGGTCAAAGGTGGTTGGTGTCATTGTCCTGGAAGTGTAATAGACTGAAAAGGTGCATTTCTGACAACAATTATGCTTGTAATGGTGAACCGTGGAGCATGAGCCACTATGGGAAAGCTCCCCGTGGGCCTCCCTCACTGCTCCTTTGTGGGGTGTTGGCTCTGTATTTCTGTGGTTATGGCACAAAAGTTCTAGGGGTCAAACTTTGTCTGGTAGAACAAAGAGGAACAGAAGATTTTACAGAAGAGCATTTTGGAAGATCCTTGTCTATCCCAGGGAATATTTTCTGGCCCTGCAGAGAGCCACAGGATTTTTCCTACCACGCAGCATTTAAAGGGGAACCTCACTGCTATCTATGCTATTCTGAAGTCATAACAAGAATGAGGTGAATGACTTCAAAAATATATATATTTTTAGTATTAAATGGAACTCCATTTACATGTGGTTAATGTTGACATGAAAAGTATGCTCTGGTAAATATGTGGTCTGATAAGAGCTGGAATCAAAAATAAAGGCAAATTATTATCAATTTGGCAATTCTAAGCAGCTGCCTATTTTATCTTTGAAATAAATGTCTGGAAAGATTTTTTTTTTCCTTTTTTCTTTTTTTTTTTTTTAGAAAAAATTGGAATTATGCTACTATGAAAGCACAAAAGTATTCTCTCTATTTCTGTCTGAGGATATTGTGAATATTTGCATTGCTCTTTTTTGACACTATGGGTAATAGCAGAAGCAGCGTGGATTAAACCTTTCTCAGAGAGCATGGCATAGAATGTAATAGAAGTCTCTCAAAAGAAGAAATGATTGCTTTCAAAAACCTCAAAAGATACATTAAAAAAAGCAGCTTCATGCTTATGGGTATGGTAACCCTTGATAAAAGGCTACACTGTCTTGGCTTTCAAAACTCTTGAAATTAAATTAAATCCATTGAAATTCTTTAGTAAAGGGCTAAGAAGTAATAGCTTTTATTCTGTCAGTGTGCCCTACTGGATTTTTCCCTTCCAAACCACCTGAGATCCTCCTCTTAATAGCAGAGATGAATGTATATATGTGTCCCAGAATTCACAACATTACAGCAGGTCATCTGACCATTTCACTTCTTCCCCTTTTTGAGGTAGGGTGAACACTGTATACAAAGTACTTAGAGTCTCAGAAATTACTCTTTTTCTGCCTCTTTCTGGCCACTTGACTCCTCTTTGCCTTCAGAACAAAGCCAGCTTTGCTTTTATGAAATAAGCTGTGGTGGCAGTACAAGCAGCCGTGCCTGCATTTTGCCCGTGCCAGCTCTCTCTCGGTGCTGCTGCCCGGGGCCTCATGCTGAGTGACCCCTGGGCAGGCTGCAGCCCTTTTGCTGGCTCCTACAGACGTGTTTTTAATGAATCTCACATGGGAAGAAGAGGGGTAGGTGTAGTGGCTTTCTCCTTGCGAGCTTCAGTGAGGCATGGGGGGCAGGTGCTCACCTGCATGTGTCAAATAAATGTGCAACAGTGTCAAGTGTTACGGATGGCGTGCAATCTGGCTGTAATAGCAACAGGTTGATATTTTTTTTCATAAAGTGCATATTAAGTCCCATGTACTCCAGGAAAAAAACCCAACAGGAGTGTGTGCTGTTATCCTGGGGACTGCTCTGAACTCTTACAGGTAAAGCACTATCCTTTCCTTGAAATTTCCAAGTATAAATTTCTTCCTCTCACTGTAATATGTTTGATATCAGTATTTTCTTCTTCTCTCACATTTCTGTTTTTGCAGTTCTACACTATGTGAAACACCTGTTATTGTAAGCATTGATGATACTGAAGAAATAACAAGGCTCTAAGCACAGAAACCTGTGTTAATAGGTATGTGAATTAAAGAGTGGGAGGGGAGCTGATGGTAAGAAGTTCAGAAACCTGACTCTTTACGATAACTTTGACTTCCTCTATATAAAATTTTGCTGTTTTGAAGTTTGCAGGTTAAATATATAAAGGGATGACTTGGCTATGGGAACTTTCCCCTTCTTCAGGCAGTATTTGGTAAGGTTGTTATCAGCAAATCAAAGGTTTGCATGAACATATGCTTATGCCTGTGGTTAGGTGTGTGTTATCCTGTTATTTGGCTTACACATTTTCATGGCAGCTTTGCAGCCTACCTTGTCAAAGAATCTGTTTGTTTTAGAAAACTGACCTAAAAAATAATTTTGCAAGGGAAAACCCCAGAGTTCTCTGCAGGAACATGATCTGAGCACACCTCCTTGAGAATGAAAATTGAAATGTTTTAGGTTCCACATCTACCAGCAGTTTGCTTGACCCCTAAGGCAGCAGCAAAGAGGTCAGCCTGCAGGGTCAAGAGCCATGAGTGCTAGGCATGACATGGCTTCTACTGCAATCTGTGGACAGCCTGTCTGTGTCCTGGCCCAGAGAGGATACAGAGATGACCCAGTCCTTTCCTGCACCCCATGATGTCTCTCAGGTTGACTAGCAGCTGCAGGTAGCAGTGGAGAAAAAGTGGTGAAGTTTAATTTCTAAGGCTTGTTCAAGAGGATAAAGAGGAAAAACTGCTGCATACATCTAGGCTGTAACTGCTAGTTAGTGTACTCTAGCTTGCACTAATACCCATGTGGGAAAATGGAGAGGCCTTAGAGGTTGTATTTCTTCCCCTGCAATCACCAAGAGCTCAGTTAAATGTTTTCAGGCTCATGGTTTTCGGTCATGTTACTGAATCACAGCCTCTGCACAGCAACCATACAGCAACAGGCTTTATAAGTCCAGCAAAGAAAGTCTACGTGTTGGGAAATGGCTTGAAGATTTCACTGCATTTACTGCAGTGATTACACAGAGTCTGAAAGTTCTGAGTTTTAGGTGAGGTGGAAGTAGGCTTGGTTTGGAGGAAACCAGTTGAAAAAGAATATTTCACAGCAGAAGTGTTTCAGATTTCCATATGAATGGAAATCCATATGATCACTCCAGAGTGGCATAAATGGAAGCCTTTCCCTTGCTTTTAAAATTTCAGAATTCACCATCCAACAAGAGGCAATGTCATTTTGAAGTCCTAGAATTTCAGAACTATCTTGTTAGTTATGCTGAGAATAATTAGAAGATGCTCGTGTCTGTAATCTTTCTGGTCAGCTGTGTAGTTTCTGCTGCTACAGACCCTTAATTCTTTCATAGCTTCTTTATGCTGGGCATACAAAAATTAAGGCTTTTCCTTCAGACAGAGATATACTGAGCAATCTGAACCTCATTTTAGTTTGATATCCCAGCTTAATTTTCAGTTTACTGAGGTTCAGAAAATTGCTCCACACTGGTCAATGGAGATGCATTCTGGAGGGGTGAATGTGTAGAAAAAATGATTTTTATATTTTTTCCTCTTCATATATACAACATGATTTTAAACAGTCTCAAGTATTTAACTAGAGTGATTGATTTATTTGGAACTGATTGATGGTCACTAATGCATTTGAATTATCTAAGACAGTTTCAAAACTGAATAAAAAATTTTGTTTAAATATAGATTCCCTGTTACTAAAGGAGGTGAATGAAAATGAATTCAGATATTGTGTATCTTACTTGTTGTGTGTTCTTACCTCATGTGAATCATGATTTTTGAAGAGTTAAGATTTTAGCTAAGAGAAGCAATTTATAATGGTCAAGATGTAAATCAGATAAGCAAATGGTAAGTTAATGATTATTAAATGCTTAAGCCAGAGCTAATTGTTATATTGTTTGCTTTATATTGTGAACTTGTTTATAGAAGAAAGTGGAGTAAGTGAACCATTGTAAGAACAGATTGAAACCAGTGAGAACAATGGCCAGCGCCTGGACTCTATACAATCAATCACCAAGCAGGGGGCCTTGGATCATGCCAGAGGGTCACAGAGACCTGATGAAGACTTTCCTGACTTCATCCTTCGAAGACCACTGACCCAACTTGAGATCACCAACCCAAATCAAGAGAAGAATTGTGCACACGTGAAGGACTAAGAGCCTCATTTTAATGCTGAATGGGGATGGAAGGTGCTGGGGTTATGCATGTGTTTTGTATGTAAGATTTTGGAAAATAAATAGAGGGAAGAGAACCTTGTTTGGGGCAGTCACGCCTTCTGGGGACAATCCCCGTGCTGCCCACTGGTGAATAAACATACCACTTTTTAACTTTAATTACTTAGAGGGTCTTTGTCTGTGATTGTAGTGTTTTTTTAACGATTCACATGGGCAATCATTGCCTGATTAAAATATATGATTGTGTGTAGGCTGAATGATACTGCAGTGTTTAGTGGGAGAAAATTTCTTTAATGAAGTCTGGAGAGCTCCCATACAAAAATACCAGACACTCACATTCACTCTACCATATTTTGCAGTGTGGAATTTTTTTTCAGTGATACTGGCAGTTATGGATCAGGGAAGAATCTTCAGTGGATGTGTGGTGGTTGGTGTGTGCATGTGCTCATGCATCATGTCCACAGCAATGTTGATGAAAAGCTCTACCAGTCCTACACTGTTGGAAAAATAATTTTTGTCTCTGCCCCTCTCTCTGAAACATCTTCAGGATGATTCCAGAGGTAAGGAGAAACATAAACATGGGATTCAGATGTTCATAAACTAGAAGGGGAAAAATATTTTTAAAATAAAAGAAAATCCCAACAAAATAAATGCATAGATTTCTTTGAACTACCCAGCTAGACCTGCTATGTATGTGTGTCTTCTAGCTGTTCTACCCCTCTCTTCCTGAAATATAATTTTAATAAGTTTATAAAGCTGATTTGAAAGATGCAGCAATAAGACACCATAGAGTCCTGTCTCAGGGAAGTCTTAGCTGATAGCAGAGTGTGTTGGTTTCAATGTATTCTAACTAAAACTAAGAAGTATGGGCCAGACTTTTAATCTGGGTACCTCTGTCTGGAATGGTGCATGAATATACAAGCATATATATGTGTCTGAATAGACACTGGTATAGTCTTATAAATGTCAGAAAAAGCTGCTCAAATACACACTAATAGGTCTTTAGTGTTTATTTGGTGCATTTGAAATACAATTTTTCTTCCATATGGACTGCGTTTTCAAGTTCCTTTTCTTTTTGTCCTTCACCTGACTGGAGTATTCCATTTCTTTGCACCCACGACCAGCCTGTAAAATTGCTTTTTTTTTTCAGTAAGAACTACAGAATTTGGTCTACAGTTTTAGTGTAGATTAAAGAAATAATAGATTTCTTTGGAAAAAAAACCAAGGAAAATCAGGACCATTTTGTTCAGTACTACATCACTGTTTTCAGTAATTGCCTTGTACAGTTTGCAAGTCTTTCCACTTTATGTAAATATATTAACTTCTGAAAATCCCTTACAGCTGTGAGGTGGGGCCTTTTGAAGGAGGTGTTCTTTTGAAGGTTCGAGGGTCTCTTAAACACACATTTTCTTTCTTCAAAGTAAATCTTGTAGATTCCCTGTCACAAATCCTTCTTGTTAGGAATTCTGCTTCAAGAATGGTTTGAATTTCAATATCAAGTATTTCAAACAAATACATCTAATGCCTCAATACATTTTTCTTAGGGTCAGTCAGTGGCCCTAAATAAGAAAGGGAACCTCTGATAATTTGAATTCAAATTCAAAGGGCCCAGCAGCCCTTTGAAGAAAAGAATAAAATAAAATCTGAGATTTTTTTTATAGTTACTCCTGAAAACCAAGAAAGGGGAAGTAACTGTAAACTTGCAGGTTTTGAAGCTGCTTTTTCTGCTTCTTCATTTTGTGCTCCCATTCCCTATATTTTTGTAAGATGAGTGAAAGCTGAAAAATTAACAGAAAATAATGCAATAACTTTAAGGTAGGTTTTGATCTTGACTCCTAAACAAAAGAAATAAGTATAAGCATGTGTGTTATTATCAGTTTAAGCTGTCGAGTTTTCTGTAGTGAAATCCTGTTCTAGAAAATCTTAATGATTGAAGGACAAGTGGTCTGTTTACACATCACTGAAGAAGTGAGGCCATAAGACTGTAAAGCATTTACCTCTGAATTTTTATTGTAGCTAAAAATGGATATTTTTCGTGATATAAATTTGAAAATTCTGAAATGTTATAATGTAAAGGTTGTGTAGGCTGCAAATCAAGAGAGAGAAAAGGTACTTGTAAAATTTGGATATGAAGAAAAAGAATATAATCTCAAGAAATTTGCTCTGTCTGCATCTGTGGATGTGAGGAAGTACATACCTCTTCTTGGTTTTAAAGCCTTTAGCTATGAGACAATTAAGGAAGAACATAGATTTCTTGAAAGATTGTCTGGTTTATGTTATGAGATTACACAGCTCAAGGACACCTTCTTGTTAAGAAAACCAGAACTGAACTTTCTTCTTTAAATCCACCCTCATTTTTACAGTCAGGGTCTCCAGGAAATAAAATAATAAATCTGGAATGTTATAAAATACTTTCCTATAATTCAAGGTCAAGTTATAAATCTTAAGTTACCATGTTTCTTGCTAGATTTGTATTTGTTCTGGTTCTTAGAGCTAAAATCTTCCAAGAAGTGACACTTTAAATGTTATTGACATTAATTTTAGCAGCAAATTTGAACATTACCCTTGCTGAGCTGGGCAGTATGAGCTGCTTAAAACAAGTGTATGCTGATAGGTTTTTGTGCAGTATGGAACACAAAACATTTAAAGGATCCTCTTTGCCTGATAACCCTTTCCTGGAAAAATGACAGCTATTCTGCAACTTCATCCATCCTTACATACTCATGTACATGTTCCTATGTGTACCTCCGGATACAGTGAGAATTCTGTGGATCACTGCCCTTTTGGGGCACACCTTGGTACTTCACAGATGCTCTAGAGTCGAGGGTAGGGCACAGCAGCCTGACATCTAAGTGCAGCTGGATACAGTAAAAACACATTGTGTTGTACTGCTGTCTGTGCTTTCTCTGCTGAGATTTTTACCAGCGTCCCACTTGCTTATGCAGAGCTCTCAGTGACCAACACTTCTTGCTCCACAATCTGCTTTTCTCTTCTGCTCTCCTCATCCCTCTCTTCTCCTTCTCTCCCACTTGCAATTGGATTGCTCGACCAGAACATGAGTGCATTGCACAGATCTGGCTGTCAAAGGGTGCCTTTCCCTGAGCACTGGTGTGCCAAGGGACAGCTGGGGGAGAAGGAAAGCCTCTGTCAGTGCTTGTCTCCAGCTTAGGAGAAGGACAGCACAAATCTTTGCACTAGCAGTGTGTCATCCAGTGATGAAAGTGTTCAAATTATTCCAAACAATCCTGCAGAAGTGGCCATAAAGCTATTATTTTAAACATAGAAAACTACAACCTCACACTTAAGCAGGTAAGGGGAGGAAGAGATACTGGTAACTGTGTTTACCATAGGTAGATTGAAATACATGGTTAAAGTAGAAGCCCAGACACGCTGAGGCATAAAATGCATCTCATCAAAGATACTGCCCAAAAGTGTTATTGGGAGGGCTGTGTAGCGGATCATTTTGCTCCATACAATGTGTACAAGTCCTTTAATGTCAAAAGGGAGGTATTGACAAGCTGAAAGAGCAGCCAGGGGCCAGGGAGAGCAAGAGATGTGCTCCAAGCACTTGGACTGGACAGAACTTCAAGTGTCTGCACACTTCTACAACCTCTCCCCTGCCCCAGAGCAGGGTTTGTAGGTCCTGCAGCACCTGGGAGTCAGTGTCATGTGTGCTTTAGTTCAGTGCAAGCTTCAAATCACCCCATGTATCATGACAAGAACTAAGAAAGCAGCTTATCAATTGAGAAAATCTTGAGGCATTTTACTCAAAAGGTCTTACCAAATCTTTAATGTAGTCTTTAGATGAGCATATGGATGATATGTATCTGTCTCTGTAGTTTTCTGCTTTCAGCAAGAAAGTGTTGGCATCTGTGGCAGCCACATTGGTGAAAAGGAGCTTGGTGCCTCTGATGTACAGAACGAAAGCTGAGATATCAGATAGGTTGTCCAGAAAGGATCAATCCTTTCATCTAAGCATTCCAAAGGTAAGAAGACAGGCACTCACCTCAAGTGTTTCAGTATGTTAAACTGAGGTTGGAGATTCTGGGCCAGGATATCAGCACTGCTGTTTTCAGCTCCCAGAGTATTCCTTACTTCAGGGAACTGCAGTGGGCTGCATCAAAATGCCTTAGCCAATCTCCAGAAAGTCCATCTGCAAAGGGAGCTACCAGAGACAACATAAATGAAATTGTGGCTTCACTGATGTAGCTGGAATGTTACTTATCTGGAGAAGAAGGTTGTATTCAGGTCCTCAGTTAATGAATTTTGCAGCTCTGCACCATTTCTGGGCCTTGGTAATTATCATACAGGAACCAGAAAGTGAAACCAGCTTGGAAAGCTAAGAGCAGCATCAATTGCCAAGCTGAGGCAAGAGCAAGAAGCAGCAGTCAGAAATATTTATTGGTTTTCAGTTATAGCTTTATTTGATCTAATAGTCTTAATCTGACAGTCCTGAAAAGCACTGCTGATGATCTTTCACAACAGTAAAGGTATTAAATATATCTAATATTGCAGTTAAACAAAACTTGCTTCCACTGCATACATTTTTTACAAATACAGCATAAAAAGTAGTATCAGTAGTTTAAGTGGGTATTTGCTGGGATTTAAAATAAAAATTCTGTTTGACAGGACTTTGGGGTTTTGTTTTCCCTTTTGAGCTCTTGTTCAATAAACAGTTATAGGAGATTTGGATGATTGGTAAATAATTTATAAAAATGGTTTCACATATTTTGCACATAATCACACAAATTGTTGTCGATCATGAATATCAAAATATTTTGCCCCTTAATTAACCTGAATGTTAATGAAAATATAAAACTATTTAAAATAGGTAAATAAGTATAGATGAATGATCTTCAGAGAGATCCCACAGTTATATGGTTGTACAAATATATGTATATTTTCAGCCTGCTTAACTTTCTAATACGAGTTAGGACATGTATAAAAACCAGGCTTTCTCAAAACTACTTTTTCTACTTCCTGTTACCTCTTGGAGTAGAGCAGAGACCATTGTGGAAGCAGCAGAAAAAAGCTCTTCCCACCTTGTTTTTTAACTTCTCTTTTCTCACCCTGCTTGTGTTCCTCATGTAAAAATATGCACAGAGATTGTTTTCCTCAGGACTGGTATTTTGGTGCCCAAAAATTGTAGTAGTATGTGAAAGGTATTTTCAGCTAGAATGGGGTGTATGTAAGCCTGACCTTACAGATTCGTGATTCAAGAAGGTGAACTGTCTGTGTAGAGTAGTGAGACAGTGCAGGATTTATTTCAGGCAGATGTGGGAAATTTGGAGAAAGGAAAATTCTGAGAGCAAGGAATAGCACCAAGAATTATTTGATCAGGGGCAGTGGAGGGCAGGCAGGTCTTGTTCTGTTTGCTATCATCTGTCTTTAAGTTCCTGTTTACAGTAGAAGGCAAGGAAAATGAACTGGTTATTTGCTTTTCTTAAACAAACTTATTTGTGAATCTGTATTTTTCCATTATGGTTAATCTCCTCCACCTAAAATGAGTGTGCTGATGGAGGGAGTAAAGTCTCTCAGAAAATTTGCCCCTTTAGAATGTATCTATTGATCAGTGTGGAGCAACTTTCTGAACCTCAGTAAACTGAAAATTAAGCTGGGATATCAAAATAAAATGAGGTTCACATTGCTCAGCATAGCTTTGTCTGAAGGAAAAGAGTTAATTTTTGTTTACCAGATTACAGGTGTACAGTCCTAGACTTTGTTCTAGGAACTGGCACTGTATTTTTGGTTTGATTCAAAATCAATTTTAAATAATGCCTCTATATTTTAACACAGAATCTCATAAACTCTAAAGAGGATCTTCTTATGAGAAGAAGACAAAAACAGACAGAGACTCTTGCTAAATAATTGTTGCATGAAGTTTCATCTTCCGTAATATTTCTTAACGTACTAAGTGTAGGAAGTATCACTTGCTGCAAGGCAGAAAGAGGATGTGCAAATATTTTATGCTGATCTGGGGAGTGAGAACACATTGCCAAATTATTATATTAGCCTGAGCTTGGTATGGGAAAAATGAGCTATTCTTGCTAATAATTTATATTGCTAGCATTTTATCACTTTTTAGAATAAAACTTAGGAAACAATAGTGATACTAAGTTTTTTGCCTTTTTTTTTTGTTGTTTTTTAGCCAGAGATTAGACTTTTGGCAGTGTACACATGTCACATATTATAAAATAGTTGTGAAATTGTTGTGTTTCTTAGGGTTCTGTTTTATGAGAAACATGGAAGGGTTTTTTTTCTTGAAAGAAATTAATCTAATACTGTTTTGCTTCTCTTGTGATTCAGTGGTTTACACAGTCTGAGAATTCCAGGTGTTTGGGCAATACTACAGCATGGGGTTACCAGCTCTCCCTCCTCCCCTTCCACCATCTTTTTTTGGTTATTTTTGACTCTTCCATTGCACTGTATGCACATATTTTATGTGTTTATAAAGCCTCAGCAGTATGTTTCTTGAACTTTGTGACCCAGTTAAAATAGCCAATTTGTGCTAAATGTCTTTGAGTGTTTCTTAAGAAGTGTCCTATAATGAAATAGAATTTAGCTAGAAAACCCAAATAACAAAACAAATCTATTTATTTCAGTGTTTCACTTCTCAGTGCTGTCTTTTCTCTTACCTGTTGTAAATCACTCAAATATTTGCTTGACTCTGCCAAGATTTGTCTTGCACAAATCTACTGTTTACATGATTGTTACTTTAAAAGTATTTATGCAATATTTTTGCACCTCTGTTAGCTGACTCTAATTGTGCCCTTTAACAAGAAGTGATAAAGAAATATCTGCAATTACATGAATGACTTTTGCATAACTCTTTTTCTTTAAAGTTTAGAATTTACTGCCTTTCCTAAATTTTCTGGTTCTTAGTGCGAGAATAAACTAATAAACCAAGACATCCAGTGCATCTTTAGGCAGACTTTTTTTTTTTTTTTCCCAGAGTATCAGCATTATGAATTTGTCACATTTTAAGATGGCCTGTAGTGTGTGTGAAACAAACTGAATGGCTTAGAGGTATGGTGACTGAGGGAGGGAGATAGAGAGCCTGATGTACAAGGTAAATAAATCAGTGGGATCAGTTTGGTTTCCTAACTGTTTCAAATTCAGAGATGACTATTGTGAGTTTAGATTATAGAAATCTTCCAGACTATTTTAGATTTACAGCAGTAGTTTCTTGACAAGCCACTGAGGAAGATGTAATGCCTGCCACATGCGTATCTTTGGAGATATCTCTCTAACCCTTTTGGACAGCCCCAAAGAGAAAAAACATGTCACAATGTGAGGAAGGGCAGGAGATGGGTGATCAGAAGATGGCCAACAGCATCACTGTAAGCAGACCAGCCTTCTAGGTAAAGATTTGTGGTTTATGCTTATAAACATCTTGCTCAAAGGCATTTTGTGCTTCTGTACAAAAATGACTACAATCAGCTGTGGGACTGCATGTCTATCCAAAACATAATCATAGCTGGTGCTATGAGTAATCATAAAAGAGTAATCCTGTGTTGGAAAAATGCACACAAATACTCTTGGCTATAAGCACTGTTATCTGACAGTAAAACACCAGGAGAGCTTGTAGACTGCAGCTAATAATGTATGACAATAAATCTGGTACCCCAGGTGAGAAGCAGTCTCAGAGGAAGCAGGATACAGTGGTAGAAGCAAAGAATACAGAAGTTAATATCAGAGAAGATACCTGCTTGGGAAAAACAGAAAAGGGGACAGCAGACTCACAGAAGGCAAGCTGGTCTGCTCATTTACAATAGACTAGAAAGCAGTTAGCTCCGAAGTAGCATATTGTAGGGAGATAGCCTGAAACATGGGTTCAGTAGCCTACCCTGCCTCTAGTCCTGGCCTGCTTCAGTTCAAGTTCATCATTAAAAAAACATTAAAGAAAAAGAAAAAAAAGAAAAAAAGAAAAAAAAAAAAAAGAAAAAAAGAAAAAAGAAAAGCCCACCCTATGTATTAACTTCAGAATAAACAGGTTTTTGTATTTGACCCCATGACAGTACAGAGCACACAGAAAGCAATGTTCAAGAGGTAAGGGAATGCCCAGTGATCTGCAATGGAACCAGAATGTAAAGACTTCAGAAAAGGCTGTTTGTAAGCATTTTCTTCTTTTTCTGTGTGGGCTCTTTCGTGTTGGCAGGTGCTACTATTGCTTTGACTCATGTTCTGTCAGGCCTTCTGCAAACATTGCACAACTGTGACTTTATGGTACAGGTAAGACAGTATTTACTGCAGTGTTATGAAATAGAATATAATTCTGCATATAATTTGGGAAAATTACCTAGCAAGTATAGATTATCTAGTACCAAGTCATCAGCAAGTAAGGAACCAGTTTAGCTGAAGGCAGGGTGGATTTGGTGAAGGTGTTAGGGGAGATCTGGAACAGAGGATATCTCCAGGTATCTCCAGCTGGGGTGGTGTTCCTGAGTTTCAGCCTGATTGTTCAGAGAACCATGCCCTGCCTGGCCTTCAGTTCACTGCCCTTTAAAATTGTGGTTCTTCATTTGTTGAGACAGTCATACGAGTACCTGTAGAACCCAAGAAGTTTGTACTAGGAAATGAAACGGGGTGGGGGAAACAGAATTAGACTAAGAGGAGGAAAAGTCTGCCACCACTAAAGAGCTCTTCTGAATGAGAGTTCAGTAAGTGGTCCAGGGGATGCAAATATTCAATTAATTGTCATTCCTCCTTTTCATTTTCCCTTTCAAAATGAATGATGGAAGGATACAAAGAAAAGACACTACAGGTAAAAATGTTTATTTGATGTTTTATAATGTAAAATTATCTCATTCACTGTGCGATATTTGAACACCTTACACAAAGCTAAATCCTGAGCTGTTCTTAGCATAGAGCACTCATTCAAAACCAGGAGGTGGAGCAGATGTTCAGCACAAGTCTGACAAATCCCAGGGCTTATGGATATGCTGACACTGTTTAAGGGTAGCAAATTCTAAGTGGGCATGTTAAAAGGAGGTATTAAATAACATTAATTTAATAATAACTGAGCTCACTGTTATCCTGGATTGATTTTATGTGTAGGAAAGAAGCACTCCTGGCACCCCAGGAGCTTCTCATAGGCTTACTGCTTGTTTTGGGCCAGCTTGTGAAGAGTGCCTCAGGGATACCAGAATATGTTCTCTGTCCTGA